CTTATTCGATTTATTTCGATGGCATCACTAATTTTACACTTAGCCACATATAAATCATAATCAGCAAAACGAGAAATTTAAGACCACTCAATTTCATGTGCAGTTTCAGCTCTGATATTTTAACCAAACAAATTATACAGACGCTATTGTGCTCTGCTACCCTTTGTCAAATGGGACGACAAGTCCCTCTGAAATAAAAGCGACCAATTGAACACAATATTTTGTAGCCATCCGATCTAGATAATGGAGCAACTTCCACTCTATAATGGGAAAAACTGAAGGAAATCTAGTAGTTTCCGCGAAAACCGTTTTTATTCCCCACTTCCTTACTAGTTTGCCTATCTTTTTATAGAGATTTCATGTAGGCATAGGCAAAACATCGGAAAAGATCTCCTTGCCTCTCCTTATTTAGTCACGAATTATAAATGTATTCTTTATTAATCTAATATTATTTTCAATCAAATCTAGGAAATACTGACCCTTAAGTAATATTAATTTCAATCGATCATATTCATTTTCATAATGGTCTCTATCTACTAGTCATATGCTCCTAGACTCAAAGCTTTTAAAACGTAAATCGTTGTTTTATAACAATGGTTAGAGAAAAAATTAGGGATAAAGTCAGCATTTGTTGCATTTTTATATACATCTCTGCTTAACTTTTCACCTGCTATGTTTACTAAAACATCCAAACAAGGTAAATTATTGTCCTTCTCTATATTAATTGCCAGCTGAACATTACAATCCTTCTGGTTAATTAAGGACAATACATCATCTGAACAGGATCCTATTTCCAGGCATTTCACTGGTCCCTAAGCCTTATACTTGAAGGAAAAATATGTATTACTCATAAATAGATAAAGTCACCATAATAATGAGCCTTTGCTCTGTTTGCTTCCTCAATAATTTCTGGGTATTCATCTAGGCTAAGTCCTAGTGCTTCAATGGCCTTCTGAACTAGAATCATAGTATAAATGGATACCACATAGAAACTCACCAAAAGGTACTCCTATATAATATTCTGTTATATATCAATCTAGCAAATTCATGTGAATTCTTCATTGAATATTTTAAATACTCAGTCGCTTTCCTTAATTGTCTGCATAAGAAACGTGAAATCTTATGCATTGCACTTCCCTGATTATTAACAAGCAATCTTAAATGAACTCCTTCCTTGTATATTTTTGGAACGCTGTAATCTAAGATGCCGTAGGTGAAATGGAAATGGAATTCATCTTCCACTTCTATATTTTTCCTTTGCTTACACAAACTTTAAGTGATTCCCCAAGTCTGGACTTCAGATTATGCGTGGGATCCTTCACTAAAATTCTGTATGTTTCTAAATGTTTTAAAGGATCCATCCTTTTTTCTATATAACTATACCAATCCGTTGTGATTACTGCATCACCTTTTCTGCCATTAAAACAAACAGACCCTTTTGGTGCAAATATCTAGAAATCTTATGCATGTGATAAGATTTCTTCGGAGTAATTACCAAGTCAAAATAAGGAATAACTTCTCTTTCTATACTATTCTTGTTTTCTTCTGGCAGCTTGTCTATTAAGGTAATTCATTCAACCAATATCTCCATCGAATGATTTTGCAAATTCCAGACTCCTTTCCAAAAGGAGCTTAACATTATCACCAATATGTAAACTAGATAATTATGATAAATAGGTTAGGCCCAAACTAATATTGCTTAAGAATAATTATTCCTTCGTTCTGATTAAAAATAACATTAGATTAATAAAGAATACCGTTTTGAATCGTAAATACATTAGGTCAGGCAAGGATATCTTTTCCCATGTTTTGTCCTTGCCTTCGTGAATTCTCTCTAAAAGGATAAGCAAACTTGTTGAAAGTGAGGAATAAAAATATTTTCAGTAAAAAACACGACACTTTCTTCGGTTATACCTATTTTAGAGAGAAAGTTCCTTTATTATCTAGATCGGGTTGCTACAAGCTAATGTATTGAAGATATCGCTTTTATGTTTGGGAGACTCCTCGACCCATTTGACTAGGATTGGAAAATGCCAAAGCTCCTGTAGATGCTACTGGTTTAAAAACTCAGAGTTAGCTAAGAACAAATAGAAACTAGTCATAAGGTTGAATGATCTTACATTTCCCGTTTTGCGCATTATAATATATCTAAGGCAAAACGCAGCCGAGAACACATAGAGACAGACACTCATGTGCTTCGACTTTTAAGTGAGGAATAAAAATGTTTTCAGATAGGACAGTCTTCCAAAAGATCTAAAATGTCTAGGGAAGTGGAGAAGAAGGATACTTGTTTAATGCGCATATAGGACACATAAAGTTTTTGATTTAAATTGAATTTGTCTGAAAATGACATTAGAGGAGCCTGCGCCACATCATGTTGAATGTTTATTCGTGTCTGTCAATTGAATCATTGTCAAGAATTTTATAAAGCGTATAACTTCTATTAAGAGTTTAATATAATCTCTATAACTTTGGTTTTTCAGTTTTTTAGGGATTTTTAAGGCCATAAATTTATTCTCATACTTAAATTGGTAACATATACTATTAATAATACGGCTAATTTCCTAATGCAAAAATTAAGCTTAAATTAGTATAAATAGGCTTCTTATTTAAAGTGTTTATTAACATCTAATAATGCATTAACTTAATTTAGCTTTTGTTTAAAACTTTTATTCCTTTTTCATCGACTTTCCTCAAGTTCATATCCCAAGTTAAACTTCGCTTGGCCTATTCACATGTGGTCTGTCTCACAAAAATGTCTTCTGTACCAAATGAGAATCACCTCCATAATAGGGGGATTTATCTGTTACCTTTTATGTGATGGCTGCACATATTCAGCTGGAATACTATACACTGTATTCCTTTCTGCTTTTTCAGCCAATAGCGTTTCAACTTCATTACTTCCAGGATTAATATACGCAATTCCCCAAATTATAGCACTTATTGTGTGTCCGTTCATTGAAGTTGCTGGATATTCTGCCTCGGCAGCCTATGGAGCAGCAATATTGGGCTTTAGTTTTGTTGGTCTGATCATATTTTTGTTTTACATGTAGCTTCCTCATTTGTTTCTGAAATCAACGTAATGTATTTTACACTCGGGGGTTTGGCAAGCATCGGTCTCCAACTTATTTATTCTGCTGGAATTATGGCTGTTACTGAAGCCTTTGCAGGCAGTCGTTTGTGAATACATCTTTAATGTTACCTTAAATCTTGACTATATTTGAACTATTTGTTTTTTGGTTTTTTTGGGTGAAAATAGTCTTAATTTTATAAAGATAATTTATTTCAACAGGTTTCCGTTAGCTTCGGCTTGCACAATGCTAGGTTCAGGATTCGGCATTTTTATTTCAAATCCACTCCTAGCTTGGGCTCTGTCCCTTTGGACCTGGCGTGAAATATTTTTTATAGAAGCTGCATTATTCCTGAATGTACTTATCTCCTCAGCATTTTTTTATTGGCTTGATGAGAACAAACGATTAATGTCAATTAGTGCGGAAAATTCAGATTATATTAAATCTCAACCGAAAACTATAACTCACCTCAAGAGTAAGATGTTTTCTATATCAGATAGTAATAATTTTGGTTTCATTTTATTTTATGTTTATTACTTACCATTATAATATATTTGCTTTAGTGTATGCTATTCTTGAATTCTTATTACTAGTTTTCCTATAATCGACCCCTGATTTTATCCCTATGATTTTTATCTTATTTCATTCACTAACCAGCGGAGACGTCTACTAAAGTTATTTTGAAAGATTCCTTTAAAGCTTCCTTATTTAAGGTAGCCAAATTCATATTTTACCCATTAATGATATTCGTGCCGGTTGGAAGTCGAGATTGTTTTTCAACTAGCGAAAAATTATCCCACTCGATTCGCTCCCATGAAAATAAATGTGAGTCCCCACATTTCTTAGGCACAATTTATTTACTAAAATTTAACACTATGACTCTTTTTATTTCATTGTTCGAATACCTTCGTTTCGTATGAAATTGCTTGAAAAGACTAGTTGGTTTATCTCACAAGAAGGCGACGGCTTAATCCCGTTTGACGAATTCAAAGAGACATCTTCCCTCGCTTCGGGTGACACCGGGCTGATCTTTCGCCCAACATAGTATGGAAATCATAAGAACTGGAACCCATTCTTTTAAAAGTCTCATGTTAACATTAGGTCATGAGGACTATCCGGCTCTATCTTACCTCTCATATAGACTCAATTAAGCAAAATAAAATTGAAAGGCATAAATAGCTATATAATGGCTTTGGTTAATTATCTTTAGTATTTATTCTGCTACTTTTGCTCGAATACGTGTGTAAGTGTGTTAACGTCTACACAATACAGGTCCTAAATCAGTGATCAGTAAAGGCTAATGTCATTCCCCGTCACTGCATATATTACAGCATGCTACGTAGGGCTCCATTTATCTTCGCGATATGTGGTCATGTCTCGCAGTAAGTATTCCATTTTTTAATATATTGTTTTCTGTCCATTATAACTACCGCTCCTCCCTTTTCTGCCTGAAGGACTAATTGTTCATTTATTTAGTGTCATGTATATACTTGTATATCTGTTCATGTACGTTGATCCATGATGTGTCAAGATTCTTTGGTTTATTTCCATCCATTTCCCGTTTTGTCTTATTAGGGAACTTATTGGAGATATTGTTGATCTCCACCAGTGTCTTTTAGAATATATGAGTTGCTTTTACCGAAAACATTATGACACATTTTATAATGATTTATAAAGATGCTCTAAAACTGGGCTTTCATTTGCTCATTAAAATATACTTTTACTTTAAAAAGGATTTTACGAAACGTGGTAATTATTTTTTGTTTATTACTAAAAAATAGTAGGCTATCTATTTTTGAAATGATTTTAACAGCAAATTTAATTCTGGAACGAGCCTAGGAAGCCATATTATAATGCTTTTATCGAGCATGTTAAGTGTTTTACAATACGGATAACGCTGAACCGGCCTTCAGTTTTGACTAAAATAACCACTGTTATTACGTTATTTCTTTCTTTGTTTTCCTTATGGCCATATTATTTTATCTCTTAATCATCCAACTCTAGCAAGTTAAGGGACCATATCCAAGTATAGCATTGGCTAGAGCCAAATTAATAAGCTTGCACAGTACCTCAGCTACTAGTTGTTTTGTTGAATGTTT